TAATATACTTGAGCATAAGATATACATAATTAGCTCCAGACTATTCACTTTATTTGTTTGGTTATTTCATTGTTTATTAGGAGTTCCTATGATATGTGTAGTAAGAGGTCCAAGCAAGTAGTCTAGTCATTTATGCCAATATAATTCCCATTTGGCGGGGTCCTTTGTATCTAGTGGTCCTGGTATGGATTGGTTAATTTGTATAGTAGACCAAATAGTAGATATTTATAACTATAGAGAGTTTACATGTTTTTAATACAAGTGTTGATAATTTTCCAATATGTAGTTATTCAACCTGTACCATTGCGTACATCATGAGTTTCTTTAAATTTATGTTGGGTTTGCTTTCCGAATTAATTATGAATTACGATTTTTAAACTGGGTTCATTCTGTTCCCTCATTCTTTTTATATATGATTACTATTAAATGACTTTTCTTGTAAGATATCCTTGAATGGCTTTGTATCTTTATCCATTTATTAAATTTATAGATTTTAACATACGCTGTTGAGGATACATAATGCTCTTGCTCAAAATACACTAATTCAGTTTAATTTAACAGTAAACAACATTCGTTCATATGGAATTATCGAGTTAAATATGTCTCTTAGAGATCTTTTGTTTGGTATATGTTAGTTTGGGAATATGCATTTAAAAAATATACTTTATTAAATACTTAATTTATTTGATAGAAAACTAATCACTTTAAGAGACATTTTGATTATTGTAGATGTACTTTATCCTTAAAAAATTGATATTATAATTAATATCAAATTGAGGATGTAAGTGCTTGCTACACAAATGTATAGTACAGATCTGTTTTTAAATTATTCTAAAATAAAAATAATATAGATATCTGTGATAATTTATACACAAAATCTGGTCTTGTAGGATTTTGTTCATGAAAGATTTTCTTACATAAAAAGAAGCAGTTAGCTCAGCTTTGATAATATTATCACATTCTCTAAAATTATTGGTACATATTTATTGATTTTCTGTAAGCAATGAATCTCATATGATTTCAGATATAGTAACTTATTAGGTGACCAAATAAATTGACTTACATTGACTAACAAATTATTTAGTAGTTTTGAAAACCATTCCTTCAATTATTTTTTTATTTCAAAGAGAAAATGTGTTTAAGTACAATAGTGCATGTGTTACATGTGCTTTCTTGCTATTATTAACAATCACCAATAACTCTTGGGTCTTAAAAAGCCATGTAAAGTTCTCTTTGAGTTAAATTACACCAAAAAAAAAAATTTTTATATATGACACATCTTACAATAATCTTCATATTAAAATTGCCTTTTCTTAAATAAAAATCTCACTTTAATAGAGTAATACCTTTTCTGTAATTCCATTTGCACATTGTTTTAGCAGGATCCAGTTTGCACTGCTGTCCAATGTTTTCACTCTATTATTATAATGTTTGAAGTTTTGCTGGTTCTTGAACTTTTTGCTGCCAGTTTGTGCAAATATACATAAATATGGTTTTAAATGCTGTTTGTTGCCTGATATGAGCCATACTTTGTTCTCCAATTGTATAAATTTTCATCTATAGGTCTTTTTCTAATCCAGCATTTAGATACTTATAAGATATAAATCATTTCCCATGAATAGTTCGTAAATGAGTAATCTGTTGTGTAAAATTAACCTATCATCTTTATGTTTTTTAGGAATATGTATCACTTACGTTACAATTTGGTGTTTTAACTGTATTTTTGACCTGTTATGTCGAAATTGATAAAGTCAGTGAATTCATATGCAATATATACAAAATTCAATTTTTTATTATGATTAATGTACCAATTTTAAACGACCTCATCAACAAATATGCAATAATTTAATTTTTTGAGTAATAGCTGTTTTACTCTAATCTGCACCTTTAATGGTAACAATTAGAATGAAGCTGTATTATACATATGTGTAAATATATTTTTTAATGACTTTAAGGCACCAGATGTTTTTAGAAAAGAACTGTTTTGTGATAATATTGTTAATTTCTCCTTTGGTTTTCTATGCATTGACCTATTCACCAGTGAAGTATTTTATACAACAATAAGATGTTTTGTTCTTTTGGTATTACTATTGTTGGTTAATGTTTGTATAATGAAATAAACAATATTTATTGACAGTGTTGGTTGGTACAAAGAGTACAGGAAGGATATTTACATAGTTTGATTTGTTTGGTTCAAAGATACAGGCATTTTAAGAAAATGGTTTAAAATTAATTTTGGTTCTGGAGTTTTCTAAGAAGGGGTATATTTAACACCTATTTTTGTTTTTATTCCGGTATATAATCCAGAAATTTATGTCGTAGCTATTATTAAATCTAAGAAACTTTTTAGCAATAGCACAGCTGATTGGTTAGTTCATATCATAGTTGGTTTACTATGATATAATACCAATATTAAAGTTTTTTTATCTATTGCGTTTAACCTGACTCCACATTGGTCTTCGAATGTGGAGTCTTCTTCAGGACTTTGTAAATCGTTGGTTCAAGACTCCTGATTGTGATTCTGTATAAATCTAAACAAGTTTATGAAACATTTGCTTGCATGTTCAGGTAAAACACTTAATTTTATATTTATTCACAAGGATTTTGTTTGTGGATCATCTTTTGAGGAAATATATTAATAAATATTTAATATTATGGTTGGTACAATAACTTCGGTACATTTTTGGGCTTAAGATTGCCAAATTTTTATTAATGTTTAATACTTACTCTATAAAACCGATATTTTGGAACTTACTCATAAACGGTTGGTATAATAAATTATTGTACAATAAGTATGTACATTTTCGTATGCAGTAGTCCTTAGATCCTATCAATATATGAATATTTGAAGCGGCAATTCACACTGATGATAAACAAACATATAATATAAACCGTACAAGGTACAACCATTGCAACCATTGCAAACAATTTGATTTCTTTCAAAGCAATTCACACAGGTGATAAACAAACATACAAACATTGCAACCATTGTAAACAATTTGATTTCTTGGTAACTTTTTTTGTGAAAGGTCGGAACGGATTCACAGCTACACTTTATTTGATAATGAGAGGGATAAACTTCATTTTTTTTAAACACACTACAAATTGGACAACATAGTTCTAGGTTCTATAGACATTTACATTGAAAGTTTTCTTTGTTCATTGCCGTGTAAAAGGTCCGAAAACAATAGATGGGATCTAGTGGGTTTCTACTTTATTATTAACGACAGACATACTACATAGTACATAGTAAGTGTAAAATGTATTTTTTTTTTAAATTTTGGAGGTAATATTAAGACTACACGTATTTTGAACAATCATTCATTTGTATTATAAATTATTTTATATCAGATCTTTGTAAAAAAATCATAAGAAACCAGTATTTTAACCCTATTTTTTAACGACACTATGATTCGATTTTATAACCATTTTAAAGTTGACTTTAAAGCCATCCAAAGTTGAGGTGACTTCAAAATTGATGCCAACTTTAAAACGGGTATGAAATCGGGCATAATGCTATTATTATATAGCGATAACACAAAGTGGAAGGACAGAAAATCAATATAAGGATGACTGCGCTTTTCTTAAGTGTCCATTGGATTCTATACGGGTTATTTCGTGCGCTATAATGTCACAAACGATAGCAATTGGAATTTTAATTATTATAATAATTGTTTGAAATTAACTACAGATGCAAGAATCGTTTTCAAAATACATATTTTTGAAAATTGTTTGGTTTGTTTTGTTAATTAGAAAATTTGAAGAAACTACTTCGATTCGAATGGACTTTATTATGCTTTTTAAGAACTTTTCTTAAAGTGTAAAATAACGAGACTTTGATTTAGTCGAACGATTATTCTACTAGTTAGGCTGACGGTTTCAGACAGACCCTCTTAAAATGAAAAAAGTAAATTAACGAAACTGATTGTCGAACATTTGCTTTACAACTCTGATTGACAAGATTAAAAACAGGTAAGTTCGTTTCAGTCGATGTAGTTTCTTCAAATTTTCTGGTCCTTCGAGCCATTTACAGTTTGAATTATACATTTTAACCGAACTTAATGCTTTTTACAGCTGTTTCCTAAAAAAATTGATACAACTCTTAGTAAGATTTGATCATTTTGAGCAGTGTATTGATTGGTCTGACATTATATTATATTTATTATGACAGACAAATAATAAAATAAACAAAGAAATAACAAACAATTGATTACATAATATATTAATTCATAAATTGTAATAATTATTAAGGTTTAAATTTTAATATTATTTTGAATATATTTGAATATAAAGAGTTTATTATAAATGATAGTTTTTACATAAAATAGGGTTGTTGTTATTATTTTTATTATTATTAAGGAATAAAACAGACAACTCAACAATATATTAAAGCAATAATTGTAATCAAATTAAAAGATAATTATGCACTATCAGAGGCAGCAAAACATATGAACATAAACAAAACACAGTTTTTCTATTACCTAATAAAAAATGGAGGTTACAAGAAACTCTCGAAGGGAAAGAAAGCGAGGGTCTGAAAGACTAAATCTATACTAAATTTAAATACACTTCAATGCAAAATAATTACTCAAAAGCGGTATTTGAGATTACACCTTCTGTTTCAATGTAACAAGTATGAAAATAGGATGATGTAATGTGCAAACAATAAATTTATTATTTAACTTACAAAAACTTAGCATTATTTGGAAGACGCGTTATAAAAACAATATGCAATATGAACAGAGTTTCCTAAATATTCATCATTGGAACTAACGCAAGAAAGACGTTATGAACAGAAAAACCATTAATTACAAAATGAGTTTCTTTATTTTTCAGTATTTGATATCACCACCATTACTCCTAATTACACTTTCAATCGATTTCGCATAGATCGGATGACTTTTTTAATAAATTCTTGAGGCAATGCTTCCTATTCATCATTAAGAGCGGCTCTCAATTTCATTATGCTTCTTGGTGTATAATTTCTATCCCCGGCCCTTCGTTTTAGCTCATCCCAAACATGTTCTATTGGATTTAGATCCTGGCCAACGCAGGCCAATTTATTGTAGGTACATCCATCTAAGTCAGATAGGTGGTGGTGACTCGTACGGTATGGCATCATGCATTATCGTGCATTAAAATAAAGGTATCACCAACAAATCCCGCGTATGGGAACCACATATTCCTCCAAAATGTCTCTGATGTAACGATCCGACGTTAAACCTTCTCCACGTCTTCATGGCACAACTGTTTTCTATCCATGGAAATGCCTGCCCAAAACATACAACAACCGCCTCCATATGACACAATTTCTCGTATATAACATTGAGCAAATCGCTCTCCTGGCCTTTTATAGACTCGAAGCCTCTTGTCGTTACCATGTAGGCAGATCCTACTTTCGTTGGAGAATAATACCTGACTCCATTGACAGTTGTCCCAATCCAGATGTTCGCGAGCAAATTCTAATCGCCTTTGCTCTGAGCTGCAGTTAGCTTGGGACTCGTAGCTGCTCTTTTTGGTGTCATATTGGCTGTCTTTAGTCTCCTTCTGACTGTGTCCAAACGCTGGTAACCACACTTCGGACCTTCCAAGCTCTTCTTTGAGATTAGCACCAGTGAAATGTCGATACAAGGAATCGATCATCTCTCTCCGTTGTTATTCGTTTTCGGCTTCTTTCTTGTCGGACATAATCACCAGGATCTTGGTACAAACGATACACTCAGGACACAGCAGATTGGCTTAAATTTTGTCGATTTGCCACCTCACCATAATGCTACTGTTTGAGCTGCTTTGACGTATGTGGTATCCATTTGTAATGCAGTTGCGAACTTGTGACTAATGTATTAGTGGGTTGCTATGAAAATTGATGCGTACGATGTTAACCGAACGCGATAAGTCGGTTCGTGCCGATTTTAATGAGTCACTTTCTGACCCCTCTCTACGTGTTGCATTATTTATTTGTAATATGTCATCCGATTCACCAAACAACAAAACTTTTTTAAAACTCAATAATGAGGTTAATCATTGTATACTAAACATTTTTTAAATTAACACTTTTGATATTGAAACAGAAGACGTACTTTCGCAAAATAATTTTGAGTCGATTATTTTGCACTCAAGTGTAGTAAAAATAAAATTAATATTTTGTAATATCTCCATCAGCATTGATAACGGCTTGTAGTCTTCGGTCCAACTGCGTGAAAGGAACTATGAAATTGTCTTCTTCAGAGAGCTTTTCCCGAATTTGTAGTAAACCGTGCCACCTCTATTCAGGATTTTGAGGTATAAAATTACGCCAATACAACCGTTTTATAATAATTACCCACATATTCTCGATTGGGTTTAAATCTGGACTGTAGCTGGGCCATGGTAAGGTTTCGATGTTGTTATTCTGGAGCTACTGGTTTATTATATCTGCAGTGTGAACAGGACAATTATCTTGTTGGAGGACAAAAATAATTTTCTGGATACAACTGTTCTACACTGGGAAACATGATGTTTTCTAGAATATTCAGATAAGTCTGCCCAACAAACCTGACATCAATACGCCATATCATTCCCATTTTTCTATGATGAAACCATCCCCGTACATTGGCGCTGAAATGACCAGCTGCTCGGTATCTATGAACTTATACAGGATTAAATTTATTATATCTGGTCTATACACCCCAGTTCTACCCTTTTTAGAAGATTGAAGAATTTTCTCATCTGTAAATATTACCGTTCCAAAAATCTGTTTGTAGCTGATGTTAAAGTAATAAATCTTGATTGCTTTGTTGGGGGAGCTGTTTTTTTTGCTGAGGTCCGACTAAGCTCGGCTACTGTTGTCTTTCTTCCCGGAAACTGTAACATAATTCTTGCAGTTTTCGCATTTTCAAAAGGATTCTCTTCTAATCTCTCCAAAAGCGTACGATCTTCATGAAAGGTAGATATTTTTGGTCTTCCAGAACCTTGCTTTCTTTCAAGAGTGTTTTGTTCTCTCCATCTTTTCATCATCAGTTGGCGCTACAGCCCTTCGCGAGCCTTGGCCTGCTTCAAAACATTCTTCCATCCTTCCCTATCGAGTGTCTGTCTTCTCCAGCCCCTCACTCCAATCTCCCTCAGATCTTCCTGTACATCGTCCAGATATCTGAGTTTAGGTCGCCCCCTTCTTCTTCTTCCGACCAGCGGCCTCTTTAGCATAGTTATTTTAGTGGGATCACTCTCATCCATTAGTATAACGTGGCCCACCCACCTTAGGCGGTTTATTTTAATGGTCTTCACAATATCTGCATCACCAAAAAGTCTGTAGAGTTCAAAGTTATATCGCCTTCTCCACAGACCCTGTTCGTTTACTCCGCCATATATGGTCCTCAATACTTTTCTTTCAAAGACTCGTAGTAACTCTTCATCTCGGGTCGTCATTGCCCATGTTTCCGATCCGTATGTGAGCACTGGGCGTATTATTGTTTTATAAAGTTTGCACTTTGTTGCTATTGACATACTTCTCGCTCTTAGTTGAGAGCCCAGGGCAAAATAACAGCGGTTAGCCTGGCATATTCTTTTTTTATCTCGTTGGATGTGTTATTTTTGTAGTCTACCAGTGGTCCTAAGTAGCAGAATTATTCTACCACTTCTATCGTTTCGTGTTCCACCTCTAAGTTATTTTGTTGGATTCTTGATATGGCCGGCATATATTTTGTTTTCTGGATGTTAATCAGAAGTCCGATGTTTTCTGCGGCATTTTTGGGTTCTTCCAATTATGACGATATCATCAGCGTATGCCATTATTTGTATACTATCTCTCCATCTTATATTAATATTAAAAACTGTTGTTCTGCTTACGTTAAAATGGTCGCTACGGCAGATAGTGACCAACCATCTTCTATTTCGTTACAATTCTTGCTTTTGGTTCTTTGCTAGTATATGGAGCCATTTTTTGAGGTTGAACAGAATAAGTTGGCTGACAAATTTTAAGATTTGGCAGTGGTAGTAACAGTATGTAAATAATAAGTATTTATCCTTCAAAATATACTGCTCAATTTTCTAAAAAATACGTTTTAAAAGTCCAGTCATATCGTTTTTTTAGGAACCATCTGTACATGCAGTGATTCGTTCATCAAGTTTTTCGATAACTACATTAGGTACATTAGGAGTATATACTGCATTTCTACCTATTTACATTTTACTATTGTAGTTACCTTTTATGTAATTGTATATTTATAAGTAGATATTAAATCATATTGCTTGATAACAACCACAACCTTATTTTTTCATTTATAACAGTTAAAGATGTTTCACAGCCTAAATTTTATCAAAAATAGTTCTTTTTTAAAAATTATCTGGCTATCTAGACCGTAGAATTTTGTTCGTTATCGTTATGATCAAAACTGGTGAATAGTTGTTCAAAACAAAATTTAGTAGAAGGGTTGTAATGTTGTCGATGTTGATTTAGGTTGTAGATTTGGCAGTTTTTAGCAAAATTAGCGAACCGTCTGTATTGCCTATACATTAAATTCAAAATGAAATATATTTCAACTACCATGGCAAGTTCTGTATTCTAGTATCCTGGGTAGGTTGAATCACATTTAAAATAAATCAAATGTGGCTAAAAATAAATTACTACCATTATAATGCATTTTCTGGTGTCTTTGTTATTTTCTAGTCAAGAATGCTCGATTTATTTTGGCCGGCTGATGTACACTGGCCGCCAAAAAACCTGAACCCTTCAATGTTGTTTGATTACTTGTGGTTCCGAAATATCTAACCCAAAAATACTGCAAACATTTGGAAAATATATGAACAATTCTAAAATGTGTGAAAATACAAGAAAAAAATTACAAAATGAAATACTAGACGTCTTCAATGACTTAAGCGTCATATATTCTCGATTGGAGCATTCCATTCATTTTGAAGGGCAACTACAATTTCCAAAAAATGTTTCTGGTACTTGAGTTGCTTCTCATTTAGTCCTAATTATGCTCTCTAGGACTAGGCCATTTAAATTCAGGTTATCTGTTGACCAAATGATCATTTATAGTCAATACAAATATTCGCTTATTACATAGGCCGTATGTGGTTGACCGTTTTATATTGAAAAATGATGTTCAACCAAGTAAAAGGTGTATAATAAAACAGAATCCACGACGAAGTTTGTAATGAACCCCTTTCTACAGTTAGACAATCTCCTCAGACAATATCAATTCACTTTTCCCATAGAAGAAATATTCGATCAAAATTATTTCTGATACATTCTAATATTTACTGTATAAGTATATGCGCCAGAAATAAAGTTTTCACGATGGTCAATGTTTCTAGCGTAGTCATCTTCAGACTGTTCTTGCAAAAATCATTTATACCATGCCCATTTCTTATTCATTTTTTCTCAATATCGAACCTTGCACTGTGGTGTCCTAAATGGAAAGGGTATATATCCATATTGATGTAGTTGCAGCACATTTCTTGTATGTACAAACTACCTTCAGGAAAAGGGCTTTTCCTACCACTGGCCACCTTTGCCAGTTCTTCGGACACCAATTTAAACAAATAAAATTTATAACTGTAACATTATTGATAATATATTTATGTCGTGTTCTTCTTCTTTACGTGCCTTCTCCGCGACGGAGGTTGGCAATCATCATGGCTTTTCTGATCTTAGATGCTGCCACATCGTACCATTCCTCAAGTTACGCATTTGCTGCATCCGTATCATTCCCTCAAGTTACGCAACCATGAGATTCTTGTCCTTCATACACTTCTCTTGTCCTGGATTTTCTCTTTTATACTTAATTGAAAGTATGTTGTATCTTTTATTACGCATAACATGCACCAGGTATTGCAGCCTTCGTGTCTTGATGGTTTCCAATGTAGTGTTGCAATTGGTTTTTTATTATTCTCTGCGATTTAAAACTTATGTTCTTATTCCTTTCTTTCCTTTTTTTATCCCTATAGTATAGCCTCTTCAGATATACGTGCAATATTCTTTGTTTCAAGTTAAGAAATAACAGTACGCTTATGGAGATCAGTGTTGCCAAAACTCTCAGACACTCTCTTTGCACGGATGTCCAAGATATTCCCTTTATTTTCATTTTCAATTAACATTTAACTGTAAAGTCAGAATGACTACTAAATAAAAGCCTTATTATCATTATGTAGTCAGAGAACGACATAAAATAGCTGACATACGCACATCGTATTATTTTAAGTTGCAATTAGTAATTAGATATACGCATTCCAAGCGGTCAATATTTTCTACTGATTTCTATGATTCATGTCATATCGTATTCTCACCGAAAAACAAATAAACTGTCGTTACTATAATTAAAATAAGATAAAATAAAATTATCTTTTGTAAATACTATTTATCTAATTAAAATCATTTTCCCTACTTTTCATCTCTTGTTTCGAATGGGCACGTTTGGTCAATTACGTTAAAAAACATTAATTTAATTCATGTTTGTGGAAACAAAAATACAAATTATACCACCCTACATTGTGCTTGTGTGTGTCGTGGCAACGCCGCGTTGCTATCGTCCATAAGAAATACATGGCCCTATCTCCGCAATGTTATTTTCAAACGTGGAACGTAGTATAGTCAAAGTGTGGTAAAACATGTCATGTTTAAGTGACTGAATGGTAATTTTCAAAACTGCATATTGATTTTCAATAATGTATTACCACCAAGTAAAGGTGTGCTTCTTTCTATATTTTATCATTCATTTCCCAACATACTCATTAACAATATTTATTTTTAAAACACTTCTTGGTTATTTACTTCTTGGTAACCTGCTTAGGAGTTTTTGTCCTTTATTTTTTTCTACACTGTCATTTCATTGGATTTGAACCTGTGTATTTTTCAGGTTTATCGCCAGTGTATGTCATGAACATTATTAGAGTTTTTTAAGTTAACATTTTGATATCATTAGTAAGAATGTGTTCCATCAACTGTACCGTTCAGACAACATTCAGTTGGCATAGCGAATGATTTTAATCTTGTTTACTTCGTTTCTAAAGGCTCAAGGAACAATAAGTTCATACTGTTTTCATAACCAATTCGTGTGCATTACACCATATGTTTCCTTCGATTTTAAACAAATCCTAGGACAAAACATCCTTCGAAAAATCACACAAAACGTGGAAGCAGGAAATTTTACACGACTCTTCATTCCGGAGCTAACAACTGAGATCAAATGGGAACACCTTGTACAATATATAACAGTTGTAAAGTCTCAGCCATCTTTAACAACGAAAAAAATTTTAATAATTGAATATTACAATCAAGAAAATTCCAAACATAGAGAATCACAGTATATATGAGAATACGAAGTCAAAGAAGAAATTAATGGAAACAAATTGAACTCAGTTATAAAACTGACGAAATCATACAAAAACCTGCGATAAAGAAAACAGCTAACTGGAAGAAAGTGTTGGCCTTCGAGAAAATTTGCTCATGATGAACTAAAAATACTCCTTCGCAAAATGGTCAAACCTTTAGACGATTTTGGTGTATTTGAAATAATCTTTGGGTTTTTTCTTTCATATTAAGAATATTTAACTCATTTTGATGGAATTTCCAAGTAAATTTGATTAAAAAATCCTGGTTTGTTGCATTCTGTGTAGTTTTTCTTTCCTTTCTTTCTTTGATTTTAATTTCTTCGTCCATATTTTGTCAATAATTTTTGTTTATTAGTCCAAATATCCTGAATCTTGAATTGATTCGTGGATAGTTATTTGGGTGCTTAGCAGAATCTTTCTGACATTAATAGGACTATGCTTTCTCTCCATATCTTGGAGCCCAATTTGGAGATTTTATAGATTCATCTTCAATCAATGTCTTTCATCATTATTACAATCTATTATCAAGTCTTCAATTATATGAATTATTTTTTAAACTATTTTGTGTATTGTAAAAATAATTCATCCAATGGACACCCAATTATTGCTCTCGTCGGTTTTGGTCAAAACTGCTAGCTGCCTTAGGTTAATAGAACCAGTTATAGCTTAATAACGTATTGTTTGTTGTATTTGGTTGTTGTCAAGCAAATATTTAAGAAATATTTTACACTACACTGTTATTTGCAGATTCCCCATGGCGTTTTTCACACCCATCGTTACAATAAATGAAACGCCACCGGAACCCACACCTAAACCGCCGAAAGTCAAGAAGATAAAAATAAAGATCGATGGTAACAAGCAAGGAGCGATTTCTGGTGAAATAGTCAAACCAAAACGAGGCAGGCCTCGAAAGACTCCTGACAGTAATAAGGTAAAAGATGAGATAGATGATCCGCCGTGGGCAAAATTAAAAGACACGAAAAAGAAGAATAAGCACGGCGACCCTGAACCAGAGACTGTGCAGAGAAGATCTTCCAGGAGAAAAACACAGATAGTGATCAAAGAAGAAACGTCAGATGAAGAAACTGTAAAGATTAAAGAAGAACCCAAAGATGAAATCGCCGAAGGCGAGACAGTAGAAATTAAAAAGGAGATTAAGGAAGAGCCTACGGATTCAATTGAGTTACCTGTAATACTGCCTCTATCAGAAGAAGAGTATAGAGCACTTATGCCCACTGACTCTGAAGAAGATAAGAAGTTCAAATGCCCTTTGTGCTTAAAAGAAAAACAGGATGAAACTGAAAGGTATCCCAAAGAATTGAAGATGCACTATAAAGAACAACATCCAGGTAAGAGGCTGCGACAAAGTCGGTTTTCTAGTGAGGTATACCCGTGCGATATATGTGGAAAAGAGTTTAGAACCCCAAGTGCAGTTAAAGATCACATCGAAACGCACAACAACTATTTTTACTGTGAAATGTGCAACGCTTCTCAGAAGAAAATATTGGAACATGTTATACATTTGAGAATACATTCCGAGGAGGGGATATTTAACTGCCTCATGTGCGACTTTCGCACGCCTGAAATAAATCAAATAACGAATCACATAAACAACCACGAGGATCTCTTAAAATATTGGTGCGACGCTTGTAAAAAGGGCTTCCAGATCTTACCTTGGTTCCAGGAACACGACAACTACCACACGGGACTGAAACCCTTCGATTGTGAATTTTGTGGCAAGTGTTTCCTGTATTCCAGATACCTACATGCGCACAAGGTCAACCTTCACAAAGAAGACATGAACTGCCCCAGCTTACACGAATGCGTCATTTGTAAAAAGCAATACCAACACAAGAACAGCCTCAAGCTGCATATGAACTCGCACACCGGTAATTTCTCCATTTGCGACATTTGCGGTAAAATGCTGTCTAGTAAAGAGAAGCTCAAATTCCACATCCGGATCCACACCGGGTACAAACCGTACAGTTGTTCGTACTGCGAGAAGTCTTTTACAAAGAAGCCCATCCTTGTGGAACATACCCGTATACACACGGGAGAACGGCCCTACATCTGCGACTACTGCACAAAAGCATTTTCACAGCGGTCGAGTTTGGTGATACATATGCGGGGACACACAGGAGAACGGCCGTACGTATGTCAGTTCTGTACCAAAGCGTTCGTGGCGAAGGCTATGTTAAATATTCATCTCAAGACTTGCAAAGGCTTGCTGGTAAGGCATGATGACGTTTACTGAAGGTCAGTGGTACCCAATAACTAGTTACTTGACTGCTGTATCTGTATATTGGTAGTTATGTTAGTTTTAATAACAGTGTATAGGTAATTATAATTTGAACTTAGAATTATCTTTATAAAATTGCACTACAGTTTGCATTTTTGAACATAGGCATTCAATTTAGGCCAGTACCGATAATTTTTGAGACAAAAAAAAAACAGTAATAGAATGGAACCCGTTGGTAAAGAAAGAAAATGCAACGAAAATAATTTAGGGGTAATGCGTTTTTAAGAGCAAAAAACGGTTTTATTACTAGTTCCGGCAAAACTACAAGCCCTATTAAAAAAGTTACATGGAAAAGTTGTAGGTAAAGTCCTACCAGAGATCTAAGAGAGCCATTAATATTTATTATCGATAAGTGTCTACCGCAAGGCAGCGGGGGATCGCCTCTGGACAGGATCGTACTTTTATTTTTCGATTTGCATTACTTATTCGATTGTTAGATGTGTTTAAAAGTCAGTCTTTATCATTGTCTACTAAAGTTATAATAGTTGCAAAAGTATTTACATACACTATCATATTACATACTTATCATTTTTAAATAGAAAAGAGGCAAAAATATTTTAGAAAATTATTTTCAAAATTGAGGTGGTCTAAAAGCTGGTTTTATACCGTTATCAACTGAATTTAAAAATATTTACATAAATTACGTATACATAGAAAGTTTACCATTATAAATACAATTCAAAAAATACTTACATTTAAAAAAAATTACATGGACAAGTCAGTTTCACTATCACTGTCGTTATCTAGATCTATAATAATTGTTTCTTTGAGCAACCTATCTGTATTTTTCCAGCTGTCATTGGTTATTTTCTACATTTCTAATTCAATTAGACGAATCACAGATGAATTTAGGGTAAGCGAAACATTACTTCTCCTTACGATGCTTTTAGCTCATGCCATATGTGTTCAATAGGATTGAACATGCAATAGTAAGGAGGAAGTCTTAATACTGTATGACCCATTTCTTCCGCTACTAAACTGTCGCAATAATATTGTTTTCTGATGGAAAATGATTTTAAAGTTTCAAGTAATTGTTTTTTAGAATAATTATCTTCATAATATATATCATTTTCAACATATATTCCTGGATTCTAAGTTTTGCTGTCATTAGAACATGGAATTTTTATTCGGCCTACGACTGTGGTAGCCTGGCATTGTCCATCACAATTACACTGTTTGATGCTATATTTGGCAATAACTTCGTTGAAAACCAGTTCTCAAATAATCTGATGTGGTGTCATCATGATAGTCGACACGGGAGTCCTTAATGTTTTTGCATGACAAGGCTAAAGCATTAGGTATAAAACCATTTTTTTTCCTGCATGGATTATTGTAATACGTTGTCCTTTATTTGATGAAGCTTTTGTTGTACAGCGACAGGAATCTGCCCAACCACATTTTGGAACGTCATGGGTGTCAAACCACGTCCCATCCAGATAAACAATTTCTCTTCCACTTTCTTGTATTTATGAATTTGAATTAAAATTCTGTCCTCCATATTTGTAGACAAGCAGATTCCATAATCACTTGGCGTTTATCGATCGTTTTTATTTTAAAAGCCTTTTTTTAGAAGACATTGCATTACTGTCTCACTTCAGCACTTGATTCATGTGTCAAGTTTTCGCAACATATGCATGATGGTTTTTAATATGGGGATCATCTATTATTCATACATGTTATAAATTTTTCTTCTAATATTGTCCACATCACTCTGATCTAGTTTCCTAAACATACCAGCGTATTTTCTTTTTCTTCTACTTACTATCGGTTGTTTTGTTATTGACCACACTGTCGTCATTCCATAAAGCATTCACATTATATTTAAAATCCTAACTATATTTTCTGATTGGGAAACATGTAGACTAAGATATTATATGACAATTTTGTTAAGTATTTGTTTGACTTCGTTCGCAAATGAAGACAATTTGTATATAAAACAATATTATTTAAAAATGTTTCGTCCGGGGGAAGAGCTCTTCCCCGGAATGTTGGAAATTGTTGATCTGGATAAGACGTGGTTTGACACCCATGACGTTGCAAAATATGGTTGGTAGATTTCTTCTCCCCAACCATATTTTATAATTGGTTTCCTTCTGCTTGGTCGCTGTACAACAAAAGCTCCATCAAATAAAGAAAAATGTATTAGAATAATCCACGCAGGAACAAAAAATGGTTTTATACCTAATGCCTTGTCATACAAAAAACATTAAGAACTCCCGTGTCGACTATCATGATGACACCACGTCAGAATGATTTGAAAATTGGTTTTCAACGACGTATTGCCAAATATACCACCAAATAGTGTAATTGTGATGGACAATGTCACTGTCAATGCCACCACAGTCGTAGACTGAATAAAGTTCCATGTTCCAGTGACACCAAACTTAGAACCCAGGAATATATGTTTGCAAATGATATATATTATGAAGAAAATTATTTTAAAAAACAATTACTTGAAAAAATAATTAAAATCCTTTGTAAAAGGTATATATATTTAAAAACCCAAACGGGCTATGTTAGACAAAACGTTTTCGGAATCCATATTCCATCATCAGTGTCCTAGAAAATATGTAACCACTTAATTAAAAAGAACATGAAGTTTAAATTTTGACTAAGGTTAATGCAAAGTGTGGTTAATACTTACTAGGAGTACATGAATGTAGCCACTAAATATATGGGTAAAAAACCCGTTAACAAATAATTAGTTACATTTGGTTTACAGTATGTCTTATAATATGTTAAGATGTTAAGGTTACCGTTGGATTAGGGAACATGGCGACATATGACTTCACGTTGAAGTTGCTAGTCCTGAGACAGTGTGTCTACGAAAACTTTATGGAAACAACTGATTGAAATCACAATGTTGACACGTTAGGACGGAAGTCGTAACAGAGCAGTTAATATAACTGTATGTGTCTACTTAAGACAAAAGCCAACCATCAATGTTGTTGTTTTAAAATTATGTATATAAGATGAGATGTGGAAAGAAAATTATGTGATTATAGTTAGGCAACCAACTATACATGTGTGCAGTAGTATTGTGAAATAGAGATTTTGATATAAGGCCCTTTATGTTTCTTCAACATTTGGTACCTGGAAAATAGAAACTAGACACATGTGGGAAGTTGAGTTCTTGAAATTTTATTGTTATTGGTGGAATATGAATGAATATATTTAAAATATGAAAGTGTTCTTGAATGAATAAAATAAAACGTTTGTAGTGCAATGTTCATGTCATATTTAACTTATAACTGAATTATAGAAGGCCTGTATGTCAAAAAACAACATTTGGTACCTGGTAAATATAAAACTTTTAATTCTAGGACACTGACGATGGAATATTTATTCCGAAAACGTTTTGTCTAACATAGCCCGTTTGGGTTTTTAAATATATACCTTTTACAAAGGATTTTAATTATTTTTTAATATATGGTATACAGCCAACTACAGGAACGTAGATTCCTTGTGGATAATTACTTGAAACTTTAAAATCATTTTGTATCAGAAAACAATATTGCAACAGTTTGGCGGAAGAAATGGGTCATACAGTAAGTATTAAAGACTTCCTCCTTATTATTGCATGTTCAATCCTATTGAACACATATGGTATGAACTAAAAGCATCGGTAAGGAGAAGTAATGTTTCGCCCACCCTAAATTCATCTCTGGTTCGTCTAATTGAATTAGAAATGGAGAAAATTGCCAATGACAGCAGGAAAAATATTTGACAGTGATAGTCAAACTGACGTGTCCATGTATTTTTTTTTAAATGTAAGTACTTTTTGAATTGTATTTATAAATGTTAAACTTTCTATGTATACGTAATTTATGTAAATATTTTTAAATTCAGTTGATAACGGTATTAAACCAGCTTTTAGACACAATTCAATTTTGAAAATAATTTTTTAAAATATTTTTGTCGCTGTTCTTTTTGTACCCAATTTAGAATTGATAAAGTTTTGTAAATACGTGAATGTAGTGTATGTAAATATGATTGCAACTATTATAACTTTAGGAGACCATGATAAAGACCGGCTTTTAAACACATTTAAGAATTGAATAAGTAATGCAAATCGAAAATAAAAATACGATCCTGTCCAGGGGCGATCCCCCACTGCCTTGAGGACCAGTAAGCTAGCGGGGACCAATGAGCGAGATCCAATTTAAACCTACGTAATATTTTTCCACCCATTTTCACTAATTTATTACCACCCTAATAATTTTTCACCACCAAACCAACCTTAAGGGGAGCGATTCTGCTGGCTTAAGGTTCAAGCTAGCAGAATTCGGAAAATAAACTTTTTGCTTATGGCATATTTTTTCACTCATTTTTCACTAATTTATTACCACCCTAATAATTTTTTACCAGCAAGCCACCCTTAACGGTGCGATTCTGCTGGCTTAAGTTTCAAGCTAGCAGAATTCAGAAAAAAAAAAACATCAAATGTTTTTTACCT